CCTCCCGCTGGATTCTCTTCAAACCCAGTGGCTTTCAGCCTCCTGTATTTGCTCACCCCTCAACATCTTAAAAAAAATATATCTTTTCATAGTAAATTTACCCTTCTGGCCTAAGTGGTTTTTGCATGGTCAGCTTCAATGGACACCCAAGAAGCAACCCATAGCTCTTTTCCCCACTCCCACCCAGGGCTCTGAATCAGAAGTTGGAAACTATGGTCCCAGTGTGATGCTCATGGCCATTAAACCCAAGCTGATGTGTTAGCTGAGTATTTCCAAATGTTTCCATGGAAGAAGTGGTGGGCTCTGCTAGTGGGTGTGCATCCATGACTTCACTTCCTAACTGCAAGGCCAGAGCCCTAAATGTTAGGTATTAAAGAGTTCATCTGTGGGCATTTCATAGTGTTTTAATGAGCCTTGCTCTAAAGCTTGGTTGCTGCTCACAAGTTAACCATTCTGTCTGACAGAGCTGCATAACCAAGGCCAATATATGATGTGATTAGCAAGAATCCTGTAAAGGAGATACTTAGAAGCCATGTCTTAAATGAACCCCCTGAACTGAGGGAAGCAGCAATGAAATAGCAAATCCACCCAGCACAGTGTGGAAATTTTGAGTATACAAGGTCCTCTGGTCTTGGCTGGCTCCTGGAACCCTTGTTGATTCCTCATTAGCAAGTGCAGGGCTGACTGCTTCTGTTGTTGCATGAATGGGCTGTTGCCCTGCTGACTAACTGGATCCACTGGGGCAGCACTAATGGGCACCCAGACAGATGCCAAGCCTACTGCTCAAACGTGGGAGAAGGAGGGTCAGGGAACAGACTGTCCAGCCCTTGTCCCTCCTGGAGCATCTCCCAGTGCCAAGCCATGAGCTGGCTTGCTCTCCCCCTCCATTCCTTGGTACTGGCAGCAGTGAACTGGTCTAAATGCAGTGTATGTTTGTTTGTACAATTTCTCTCTTTCTCATTAAATCAGTTATGAAGAGTCCTGAGAGCTGAATGACAGGGTGATACCGCAGTTCATGAGCTGTGGACAGAGATTTTTTTGTTCTTTGTAACTGATTTTTGAAACCTTTTTTTCAGGACAATGTACCAGCATTTCCTTTTCCTTTTTTTTCTCTCCTTCCATCCCCATAAATGCCAAGGTCAAATCCTGGGTGAAGATTCATATGAAATGCCCAAAGACTACCAGGAGGTCTACAGAGGGACAAAAAATGATGTCAAAGAGATCCCAAAGATTGCAAAGCCCTTTGTTTCTGAGATGATCTTTGTGCAAACCAGCATCACTGCTATAAGGAAAGGTGCCTTCAGGTACATGCCCAACCTGATCAAAATTTTGTTTATTGGCAACAAGATCAAGACAGTTGAACCTGGAGCCTTTGATAATTTGGACAAGCTGAGGGACTTGGACATCTCTGGTGCCTTGTTAGAAGAACTATCTGTGGGCACTTTCAAAAACCTCCCAAGCTTACAGAGGCTGGAGCTGAGAGACAGCCAAATCAGATACATCCCCAAAGGCCTGTTTGATGGGCTGGAGAATTTGGGAGAGCTCTCCCTGCACATCAATTCAATCCCTTCTCTTCCAGAAGGTATTTTTGATTCTCTTGTCAATCTAACATTTTTGGACCTGTCAAGAAACAGGATCACAACACTTCCTGTGAATGCCTTTAGCAAACTCACTCAGCTGCAAGTCCTCCGGTTGTATGAGAATGAGTTGCAGGAGCTCCCAGAGGGACTGCTAGACAGTCAGCCAGAGCTGCTGGAGCTGAGCCTCCAGAGGAACAGACTCAGGGCACTGCCACCCATGCTCTTGAGGAACCTGCCTCACCTGGAGAAACTCCTCTTGGACAACAACCTCATCGGGGTTATCCCACCTCAGGGCTTTTTTGGTTTAAACAAATTGAAGCTGCTGACTCTGGGTTCAAACCATCTCATGGAGCTCCCCTGCTGCCTTTTTGACACCATGCCACACTTGAGGGAGTTGGACCTC